TTGAACTCCTATGATACGCATGTTCTTAGGTTTGATGGAATCATTGAGTTCCCTACGTCTACTCTTGTGATCCATCATTCTTCTTTCTTTCTTTTGTTCAGCTTCATTATTTTCCATAATTTTATCTTCTACATTCATTTATTCATTCCTCTGCTTCTTCCATCTTTGTGGTCATTACAGCTAGTCTGTTTCAAATGTGTTATTACATTTTTCATTTCTGCCTGGTTGTTTTTTTTAACTCTTATTTCTGCGGTGAGGGCCTCCCTGAAGTCTTCCATTCTTTTCTCAAGCCAGTGAGTATCCTCATGATTGTTGCTTTAAATTCTCCATCAGGAGAATTCAGATCTCTGGCCATGGCCTTATCTTGTTCTTTCTTTTGGGAAGAATTACTTCATCTTGGCATTTTGTTTAGGTCTCTGTCTTCTTCTGTGTGTTAGAAAAGCCTGTTATGTTCCCTGATCCTGAGAGTAATGGCTTTATGAAAAAGAGGTCATATAGTGTCCATGGCCTGGTCCTTTCTCTGGTATGTGCCGCATGCACTCTGTTGCTGTATTTTGACTCTTCTATCCTTCAGGCCAGCCGTGTGCAGAGGCTCTCCTTGCCTGCAGTGTGCATGTGGTAAGTTTTAACTAGGTGTGCTCTGGCCTGCTTGTTAAATGAGATCTGATACTACTTCCACTAGAACTGAAGCCTTGTAAAACTCTCTGATCAGGGATGTGGTGTGTACAGGGCTTTCTGCTGGTTTTCTGGGGAAGGGGACTGCTGCACTGGGACTTAAGCCACTTGCCCTAGAAGGGCAGTACTGGCAGAGCACAGGTGGGTGTTGTATGCAGGTGTATGCAGGTTAGGCCTCTGGTGTTGGCACTGTGCTGTTTACTGAGGCTGGTTTATCCTGATGAGAGGGGGAGGGAAATGGCGCCAGCCAACTCCTTTGTCCCAGGAGAGGTGTTTCCTTGCTTGCTGCTCTCAGGGAAGCACTCCCAGAGGAGTGAATATTCCCTGTGCATCCCAGGTGTTTTTCAGATAGCTGTTTTTACTGTTTGTCTCCAGTTTGCCTACCAGGAGCAGTGCACTTTGGGCTCTATCCCAGCCAAGCCTGGTGACTTTTAAAACTCAAAAATTGGGGCACCTGGGTGGCTCAGTCAGTTAAGTGCCTACCTTCGACTCAGGTTATGATCGTGGGGTCCTGGGATCGAGCCCCATGTCATGCTCCCTGCTCAGCAGGGAGTCTGCTCCTTCCTCTCCCTCTGTCCTTCCCACCTCCCCACTTGTGCTGTCTCTCAAATAAATAGATAAAATCTTAAAAAACAAAAAAAAAACTAGGGGCGCCTGGGTGGCTCAGTTATTAAGCATCTGCCTTTTCCTTACTTTCCCCAACTCCCAAGTATATAATCAGTCACCCCTCACAACCCTTGTGCAGCAGCTCTTTCTGCCCAGGGGTTCTGTTCACCTTTTTGCACCAAAGAGGCCTCAAGAATTCTTTCTTGGCCATTGGCTCCAGACCCCACCCCATCAAACCTCACCTATATTCCAAAACCACATCACAGGTGCCACCCCCCCGAGCAAAGGTTTCGTTCTTTCTTTTTTCTTTTCTTTTTTTTAAAGATTTTATTTATTTATTTGAGAGAGAGAATGAGATAGAGAGAGAGAGAGAGGGCGGAGGGTCAGAAGGAGAAGCAGACTCCCCGCCGAGCAGGGAGCCTGATGCGGGACTCAATCCCGGGACTCCAGGATCATGACCTGAGCCGAAGGCAGTCGCTTAACCAACTGAGCCACCCAGGTGCCCTTTTTTTTTTTTTTTTTTTTTTTTTAAGATTTTACTTATTTGACAGAGACACAGTGAGAGAGGGAACACAAGCAGGGGGAGTGGGAGAGGGAGAAGCAGGCTTCCCGCCGAGCAGGGAGCCTGATGCGGGGCTCAATCCCAGGACCCTGGGATCATGACCTGAGCCGAAGGCAGATGCTTAACGACTGGGCCACCCAGGCACCCCAGAGCAATGGTTTCCAATGGACACCTCCTGAGCGTCTCTCCAGTGAGTGTAGGAGGCTAAAGAATTAAAGGGTTAGAGACCCAGGGTCTCCACTGCTGAGAACTCGCCACACTGAAGCCACCTAGCCACCTAATCTTTTGCTTGGAACTGTAACTCAAGAAGGAGGCCTTTAGACTCAGGAGGCTCCAATGCCCTAGCCACCTACATAAGCAAACTGAAACCTAACTTCAAGCAAAATATTATAAATGCCTTAAGGGTGAGAAGTAAAAAACTAAGAACACCCAGTCACAAACAGGCAACCAGGCTTTCCTAAATGAGGCAATTCCTTAAGCTATAGCCAATCTTATAACTTCTTTGCTTTCTTAACCCCTTTTGTCTCAATGGCCTTATCTGTAGTTTGGCTTGGTGCATGTGCTGTATGCTCAAATATGCTGTTTGAAATTTTAATGAACCTCACTTTACCTTTTAACAGAGCTAATTGAAAAAAAAAACAACCCACAAGGCTCACCCTTACTCAGTAGTGCTTTTATTTTTTTTAAAGATTTTATTTATTTATTTGAGAGAGAGAATGAGACAGAGAGAGTACATGAGAGGGGGGAAGGTCAGAGGGAGAAGCGGACTCCCTGCCGAGCAGGGAGCCCAATGCGGGACTCGATCCCGGGACTCCAGGATCATGACCTGAGCCGAAGGCAGTCGCTTAACCAACTGAGCCACCCAGGCGCCCCTTTTTTGAAGATTTTAATATTAAGTAACCTCTACACCCAACATGGGAACCTGAATTTACAACCCCAAGATCAAGTCCCATGGTCTACAAACCGAGGCAGGCAGCGCCCCTCAGTGGTGCTCTTATTAAGGAAAGCTTCCTTACCGCCCAGTGTAATATTCCATCCAATCCCGTCTAGCAAAGTGACCTCTCCTTGTTTCCATTGCACCTGCCACATTCTAACATGCAATATAACTTAGTAATTCTGCCTTCATGTATCCTGTGTTTTCCTTGAACATAATAAATGCCACATGAATGCAAGACTGCTTGTCTTGTGCCTGCCTTTCTCTCATGCATTAACCAAAGTTCCTGAAAAACCAGTGTGTGCTCAATGCACATTTCGTAGAACAGTGAATAAACGTGACATTTCAATTTCCTTCTCATTTTAACTATTCTGTGTACTGTCATTTCCTCTTTAAGTCTCTCCAAAGTGGTGTGAAAATTAGTAAAGGAAACATTTAATATGGAGTCTGGAGGCCCTAAAAGGTGATGCAGGTAGGACATGCATAAACACCCGGAAAGGAATATAATTTTAATCTTGACAAGGGAGAATGCTTTCGAGGTAGGAATTTAATATGCTTTTAACAAAAAAGATGATCTATCCTTGCCTCAACAATGACACACTAACCGTGACATCAGCCAATGAAACACTGCGACAGCCTCAAAATTTTGTTCTTCAATGACTTTTATGGAAAGCCACCCTCCGCAATCTCCTCCTAAGACCTAATAAAAGCTGGCTTTCCCCTTGTCTCTTCAGACTTGCTTGTGATTTGCCACAGTGTGCTTATCCTGAGTGGAAATTCCTCTATTATTCCTGAATAAGCTCAATTTGCTAGTAAAATTATTAGCTATTTACTTTTAAGATTGACACTGGTATTTCTCAAAATTTTCAGGAGTGAAAAAAAAATCACATTTTGGAGATAAAAGCCTCAAAATGATCAAGCACAGTCACGGGATCTGTTTGATTCTATCTTTTCTCAGACATCTTAGAACTGTCTTCTCAAAGTTCTCTGAGGTCATAACTGTTTCTTAGCTTTTACCAAGATGTGTAGGGAGATGGAACGTGGGTTTCTCCATAGATATTTCTGCCACTGTCTTTAAACAGCTGAAATGTGTATCACACTGCTGTTTTTTTCTGACATAATTTCAATTCCTAAAGCAACAGTACTGCCAGTGCCTGAAGAAAGAAGAATCAATTCCCAGCAAGAAGATGAGATCATTGGGTTTAGACAACCCTTTATTTCAGGGTTCAGATTCTCCCCTTGCCCACTTGCTCCAACTGAAAATGGCAACATGTGTTCGGTACCAAAAATAGCATCGATTAAGTTGCACTATGTTTGGGATGTCAGTCTCCTAAGAGGAATTAAGTACATCTGAGAATATGGAGTAACAAATACATGGATAAAAGTGTTCCTTCATAGATGGGACACAATCATTATACAGGCAAGAGAGGTTTAGTGTGGAACCAGAGCCTGACCGCGTCATCGACCACTTCATTCCGGGTGGCCTCCCATCCTTTGTCCTTCTTCACTGTCATGGATCTGTATGGGGTGTGAAAGAGGAAACCACAGGCCCCAAATGGAGTCACTTTTGCTAGGCCGGGTCACCAAACCAGCTCACCAAACCAGCGCATAATAACGAAACTCATTGCACTTTCAACCTCCCCAGAAATTCAGTTTCTACTGCACAGTCAGGAATATGCTGGTCAGCACCAAGCAGGTAATCTACATGGATAGGCCCTCTCCATTCCCCAAAGAACGATGACAGATTCACCACAATAAGGTGACCTGATCTGACCTAATCCTTTTTTCTCTTTATGACATTCTTGTCCTTACCTTTAAAAACCTTTCCCTTTCTGTAGCGCTTTGGAGCTGCCCTCTACTTGCTAGATGGGATGCTGCCCAATTCACATATCGATGGATAAAGCCAGTAGACCTTTACAATTTTTGTTGTTTAACAGGACTTTTTTTGTATTCCTCCTAACCAAGTCCAAAACCGACTCTAATGTTTCAGGGTGCAAACATTTGAGGAGCAGCAACATCTTTCCACCTCTGCACAGACTCATTCCTTTCTGAAATGCTGTACGAAATGATATGTCATTTACCTTAGTAAAAGTATTTAGGAGCATCTAAGTTTTCTTTGGAAGCTGACATTCCTGGAATCTGAAAGCAGGGCTCTTCTCTGCCTTTAACAAGGAGCAAATCCGGTCCCTCTGGGGCGCAGCAGCGCTTTCCAGCATCCCTCAGGGTGCCACGTGACCAAAGCTCGCAACTCCAGGGTGGAGGACCCCCTCCCGGAGACCGCCAGAGCTCTGGGAGCCACACCGCCCGGAAGAGCCCCGCTCCGAGCGCAGAGCGAGGAGCCAATGAGGGAACAGCACACGGCGTTTCGAGGCGAGCGCACCCTCCGGGGGCGGGACTTCCGGTCTCGTCCCCCAGTAAGCCTTTCAGCCTCAGGTTGGCTCCGTTTATCCCGTGAGGTTCCGGAGCGCGGGTCGGGGTCCGGGTGACTGATCGTGAAGCCGCGAGGGGAGGCGCCGTCCTCGCCGCACACAGTCGAGTCCGGGTGTCCGCTCCGCGCCGGCCCCGCTGCCGGCCCACCGAGTCCGATGGCGGCGGCCGCGCCCAGGGAGCCGCCTCAGGTAAGCGCTCGTCCCCCGGGCCCTCCCGCCGTCCCCCCCGCCCCCAGACCCCGAAGGCCCGAGCTGCTCGCGTCCCTGCGGCCCAGGCCCCGGTGTCGGACGGGGAGGCGGCGGTGGGCGGGGGCCCCGTGTGCGAGCGCCGGCGTGCTGGCGTGAGGAGCGGGCTCCGGGCCGAGGGGCCGGCGGGGCAGAGGCTGGAGGGGGTCTGCGCCCGCAGCGGGGAACAGCACATCGCCATTCTTTCTGTCGGGAGCAAAGTGCAGCGCGGCCGGGGAGGCCCGTCCCCGCGCTGCCCGAGGAGTCCGTCCCTCCTGGCGGTGCTGAGGTGGTCTAAGCCCGGGGTAAATGGGCGTTGTCCGGCCGCGAGAGAGGAGAGCCCGCCGCGGGGGTAAGCGAGGAGGCAGGGCGCACGGGCGGAGGGAATTGCAGTAGTCGGTGGCGGAGTCCGCGGACTGCTGCTGTGTCCACGGCGGCTGTTGGCGAGCTGCTGGACTCCTGGTCTGTATTTTGAGAAGGGCCACGGCAAATGGTGGGTGTTGCAGGTGAGAAGAGAAAGGGGGCGGTGAGGGAGAACGCCAGGGCTTTTGGTCCGTGAACCTTAAAAATAAAATCCGGCAGTAATTCTACCCGCACAAATGGGTTTATATGGCAACGGAAGAGAAGTGCAATTTGGGACAAACAGGCTGAGTCAGAACAGTAGGCCAGTGTGGAGAGCGTGAGAGGTAGTCTTTTTTCAGCGGAAAGAGGCGAAGTTGGGAAGGCTGTTACAAACTACAGGTCCACTGGAGTAAACTGGGAGTTGCAGTGGCTTCTCATTGGGTGGGGTGATCAGGAAAGACTGTCTTTTTGTGTCTGGGGTAATGAAGTAGTGTCCCATGTAAGGTCAAGCCCCTCTTTTGCTGTTAGGTTTGCAGTCCAACAAGCTGGTAGTGCCTGAGAGCTCCACACCCCCTCAAGCCTGCAATCTCCTGATACCATTTTAGTGAGGTTTCCTGTTACCAATTTACCCACTTCCTACCAGCTGAAGGGATGGGAGCTAGCGTTAGACAGATGGAAGGTAGCAGTAGGTTGGTTGTCCTTGGGGATGTCCTAACTTGTTTTGACATTGTTTAGAATCTCTGATGTTTCAGAGAGGTATGAGTGATGGCAACAGCCGGGCAGCTGGACAGGACGTTTTGGGAAACGGGGGGGAAAGATTTAGGGTGGAGGTTTGAAAAATGATGGCTACCGTGTGGACCAGGGTGGAGATTTGAATCACATTTAGGAAGGGAATGCAGAGTATCATGGTAGTACTGCTAGTAGGTCAGAGGGTCCTAGTAAAGTGTGCTGAAGAGTGGTTTTCTTGCTCAGCACGTGGTTGGGGTTACTGGACATTGCCAACACAGGTGAAGGGGAGAGAATGATCTGGCAGAAACATGGGCAAGCCCTCCATGGGATGATGGGACCAGAGCTAGCTAGGACATCTAGGAGTTTTGTGGGTTGTTTTGTTTTTTGTTTTTTTTTAATTTGTTTGTTTGTTTAAGTAGGCTCCATTCCCAGTGTGGAGCCCAACATGAGTCTTGAACTCATGACTCTGAGATCAAGACCTGTGCTGAGATCAAGAGTCAGATGCTGAACCCAGTGAGCCACCCAGGCGGCCGCTCCTATGAGTATTTGAGAGGCTGGGGCTGCTCTCTGTCCCGCGTTCTAGGGCTTCACCAGAACTTTGTGGTCAGCTTTTATGGTGTCTGGGGTGTTTCAGAGTCTTCCTGCTAGAAGAAGTCTGGGGCAGATGTCATTTGTGGTCCCTCCCTGTGCCTGGCAGGGAGACCCTTAGGGCTGGGGTTTTCACAAAGGTTCAGTAGAGGATGATTGGTTCCCGATTGTGGAGGGACAGCGAGGGCAGCAGAGAAGTGGAAGATGGTCTGTGAGTATCCGAAGCTGACCGTGGTTGTGAGTGTCTGTTATTGAAGGGAGGGTTACAGGCAGCTGAGGAGGGCTTCTCAGCAGCATTTGAGGCTTTCCCTCTTTTGGGATCCATGGGAGTACTGGGGTGGGACTGGAACTGTTTGAGTTTGTCAAACATCCTCTGGATGTCACGTGACAAGCACAAGTGTGAGTCAAGGGAGGATCCTTTGTTGTGGGGCAGGAAGGTGTGGGAGTTCATCTGTGGGGTCTGAAGACGTGAGAGTGGTACAGTCTACAGAATCCTGTACACATGGAGGGGAAGTGTGAGCTCAGGGCCTCAGCGCCCTGGTATTGAAGACTTTCTGGTAAAGCAGGGCCTATAATTGGCTGTCTTGAGGGCACAGCGTGGGAGACTCCATGGGAATATCGTGGCAGGGGCATGACCTTGCAGGCCAGACCCAGAGCTTAGAGTGCATCTATGTGTCCCCCTGCCTGTTACTGCCGAGGACTGAACACAGTGATTGATGGGAAGGTGAGGAGAGCAGCATTAGAGGCCCCAGGACCTGGTATTTATTCTGAGGTGGGGAGCTGGGGTGGCAGGGGAGTCTGGGGTGGATGTGGGGTTGGATTGTGGGTACTCAGAGAATGTTCATGGTTCCAACTTTTCCTTTCATGGTAGTGTGGTGTGACCTTTGAGGACATTGCCGTGTACTTCTCTTGGAAGGAATGGAGGCTTCTTAATGAGGCTCAGAGACGGCTGTACCACCATGTGATGCTGGAGAACTTTACACTTATATCCTCACTGGGTAAGGCCCTCAGCCCCCGCTTTGACCTGGACTAGACTCTGTACTCTCACGTCCCCCCTCTGCATTTTCCAGGGTAGGTTTGTCCTTCTCTCGTGTGGACTGTGGGCACTGCTTGCTTCCCCAGCTTTCTGGTTAGTTGCTTTTGTTGCTAGCTCTGAGTTGTTGGTGTGCCCTTTTCTCTGCCCTGCAGCTCCCAGTGCCCTCTGTGCTGAACCCTGATCGGGTAAGATTGGAGGTCAGTGGTCATGCAGTGAGGCTGATGGATTGCACCTTGCCTGCCCTCTCCCTGGATAGGTCTGTGTGTCCAGACCCATGCCTTTTCAGTGGTCCAGGTTTTGAACCCTTCCTTTAGGTGCCATTTCCTTGTGCCTGCCTGTGCCTGAAATTGCAGGCATTGGCATGGCCATGTAGGTATACTATGGGCTACTTCTCAAGACCTTCCTGTATGGTTCTTCTTCCACCTGCCCCCACTTCCTTCAGCTTTGTTGAGGTATGATTGACAAATAAAATTATATTAGTGAAAGTATATTACATGATGACTTGATACACAGTATGAAATTATTACCTAAATAAAGGTAATCAACACACCCATCACTTGATATAATTACCTTTTTCTTGGTGGTTGTGAGAAAGCTTAATATCTACTCTCTTACCAAATTTCAAGTGTACAATACGGTATTAACAACTG